GTTCCCGGCAGCGACACGCCTGTCCACATCTAAATCACATCTTCCATCCCGGTTAAAAGCACTCCCCAAGTATACAATTTCATTTACCTGTTCTAGACATTCCTGATTTACCCATATTTCACACTTCGTTCTCTCTTCGTCCCTTTCAAATACCAGAACCTTAGTTTTATTATCATTCAAACGGAGACCTTTAATTTCACATTCCTCTTTTATACACGTGACTAATGCCTGCAGTTCTGCCTCTGATGGTGCAATAAGCACTGCATCATCAGCATACAGCAGACAATTTACTTTAATGTCACCCAATTTCACACCCAAACAACTATCTTTCAGCTTCTGTAAACAGCTGTCGAGATACACTATGAACAGCCAGGAAGACATGACACAACCCTGCTTTACGCCCGTTTGGACGTTAAACATGGGTGACAGGTCATGCCCTACCCGCACACAGGCTTTACAGTCACAGTAAAGAGACTGCACAGCCCTTAGCAATTGACCATCCACACCATACCTCGGCAACAGTTCCCACATTTTCTTCCTTACAACCTTATCAAATGCTTTCTCAAGATCCACAAAAGCACAGAAAATCTTCTGGTTAGCAGCCAGAAGCTTTTCCGTGATCATGCGGAGAGAAAACATTTGATCCGTGCATCCTCTTCCAGGTCTAAATCCGCATTGTGCCTCCCATAGAAATCTTTCCGATTTCTCTTGCATCCTACGTGTCAAAATCTTCGAGTAAACTTTACTTGCTAAACTGGTCAAGCTGATCGCCCGATAGCACCCGCAGTCAAAATGTGAACCTTTACCTTTATATAAAGGCACAATGACTGCGGATCGCCAATCATCCGGGACATCCCCCGTCCGCCAGCACAAATTGCACAGCAGATGAAAGCTGTCCCAGACGCGAGGCCCACCATACTTGACCATTTCAGCAGTAACTCTGTCTAGTCCCGCAGCCTTACCACATTTCAAACTTCGATTCGCACGTTCAATCTCTTTCATACTGATGACCTCAGTGTCATCGAGGTCCGGGTCTGGCGTACCAGTCACGGCGTCATCCCCGGATCCCTCACTAAGATCATCACAGGCATACATTTCTCTATAAAATTCGCTCCATCGCTGCATGACGTCCGATTTTTCTGAGAGGACGTCATTAGTTCTCGAAAGCACTTTGTTCATTCTTAAGGCCGTCGCACCACTTCGGGCCCTTCCAACCTCTTTCCAGAAGAGTTTGGAGTTCTCCTTAAAGTTGTGCGACAACCTTTCGTCCGCTTCCATTCTACACCTTTCACGCACTTCCTCAATCAGTGCTTTCGTGTGAACTTTCTGTAGCCTATATCTTTCTTTCATCTTCTCTCTCATATCCTTATCATTACTAGAGGCCAAGTAGTCTAACCATGCTTTCTTCTTCTTCTTTACAGCTTCTTTCACTTCATCATTCCACCATGCATCTCTTCTTTTACTACTGCCTCTTTTTATTGCTCCACACACTTCTTCCGCTGCACTTACCATTCCATCCCTAAGGTTCTGCCATGTTCTTTCTACACATTCTTTTCTGCCATCGATGGTGTCAAGCTTTTCGGCTACCCTCGCATGATATGTCCCTAGTATCCGCTTCCTGAAGCTTCCAGCTTCGGATGCGACAGACCGACTGTGGTTCTGTTACTGCCGCCCGGTAGCGCCAACCCGCGAACAGACCCCTAAATCTAGTAATCACTAGATAGTGATCCGTTCCCAGGTTAGCACCCCTGAACACTCGCATATCCATCACCTGTTTTCGCAGTCGGTCATCCACCAGGAACAAATCGATCATACTTCTCTCATTCTTTCGTTCTCTAGTATACATATGGATTTTCTTGTGATTAAACATAGTGTTTGTCACAAGAAGACCCTTTTCCTTGCACACCGCCAGTATAAGCTTGCCAGCATCATTAACCCTTTTATCGCCAAACTTTCCAAGTACCGACTCGTACCCTGGTCGAGCGGTACCAACCCATCCATTCAAATCACCACATACAACAATTCTTTCGTTTCCCCTAGCCAAATCTAGAACTTCTCTTACATTCTCCCAAAACTCCTCCAGCTCAGCCCTGGACGACGAAGCTACCGGCGCATAAACAGCCAAAAGGAATAACTTCGTCAGTCCCAATTTAAAGCGAACCCAGAGAAGTCTTGAGTTCACAACCTTATATTCAGTCATAACATCGACCAACCGAGAAGACAGCAGCACCCCCACTCCCTGGCAGGCGTTCTCGCTCTCCGGGACTCCTATATATATATATATATATAATATATTACCTAACTGAACTACTATTCACCACGACATAAGTTGACTGGCAGAGAATGTCGTCTGGCATTTAGTTCGCCCTTTATTATTTTTATCTATACATCTATACAAATAAATAAAATTGAAGTGTCTGTTTGTAATGTTAAAATAACAGCTTTTTACTAAATGTATATGAAAGTATATACTGTAGTAATAATAAAAACACAAATTTTAAAAATTTTGTCTGTCTGTCTGTCTGTTTGTTCTGGCTAATCACCGAAAAGGCTGGACCGATTATGACGTGACTTTCACTGGCAGGTAGCTGTAGATATAAGGAGTAACTTAGACTAATTTTAATTTAGAAAAAGAATTAGGGTTCCGCGCAAAAAAACATATGAAATCCAAGGTGAAGTCGCGGGGAACAGCTAGTTGTTAATAAGGTACGCGAGGGTAATATGCTCACCTTAAGCTTTATTGCCATATAAAACCAAAACTAGGAGGAGGACAGAGACAAAAACGCAATGTCGTATACCATAACTAATATATTATGAAAAAAAAACGGCCAAGTGCGAGTCGGACTCGCGCACCGAGGGTTCCGAACAAATCCGTAGGTATAAAGTTTAAAATTATTAAAAATATTTTTATTATATGATGTAACTAAATATGTATGCTTTTCGCAATTTTTCTTTTGAGTTCATGGGAAGTACCCTGTAGGTTTTAATTCCCTCGCAAATGTCGAAAATTTGCGGCATAAACGGCTGTATCTTTAGATTGCTTTGGCTTAGAAGTTTGATTTTTTCACAGATCCAGTAGAAGACAGTAGACTTGAGTATTTGATATGAATTTCAGCTTGATACCTCCACGCGTTCCTGAGAAAAAGGGTCTTGACAGACAGACAGACAGACAGACGGAAGTGATCCTATAAGGGTTCCGTTTTTTTCCTTTTGAAGTACGGAACCCTAAAAAATAGCAAACACGCTTTGGCAATAATTAGGAACATTTCGAAAAATCTACTTAAAAAAGAACTAACTACACTACACAATACTAAAATCGACAAAAATATTTACCTACATTAATGTCAACTGTCAAAATGGCGTCGATAAAGCAACGCCCCTTTGATCCTTTATTATTTGATCGACTGATGAAGAGATATCGTATCACAGAACCATCTATGCAAACAAGGCTGCAGTTTTTAAGTTATACCATATTAACCGGATGACCATATTACCCTCACGTACTATACAATAAAGTTTTTTATAATTCAATAAATAAAATATAAGTAGCTTTCGTTGATAATACATGTTTGCGCGTATGATATCGCGGACAGAGCTATAGTTTATAAAAATAAAATTTACCACTTATTTGAAACAAAACTATTTATTAACTGAATAGGGATAACAAAACGTTTCATCAAATTGCACATAGAAATTACTCAAAGTGGTTTGTTTGATCTTCAATTCAACGAACCGCATCGATAACGCCTTTGTACCCTAGCGTTTTGATGAATCCCAAGTAATATTAAACGTAACGAAAATTATTTCAATGACTTTTTTCTTACAAAGAGACTACAAAAGGGCTCGTTTCACACTCAGGAGATTTTTTTCTTTTATCAATCAAATTGGGGAGAGAGGAGGGAGTTTGTAATTACCTTTATTTATGAACGTTTCCATTCCTGTCTGCGACTGCAAGTTGTGGTTTTAATTCATTCAAAGTCCTCAGGCTCTTTGCAACTGGAATAAGTTTGCATAAAATATTGCTCTGTTAGTTGAGCAATATTTGTTTCTCTTTCAATTACTATAAACTAGACCAGAATAATTTGAAGAATGAGTCTTAAATTTTTTTTCTTTGATAATGAACCCGTACGGTTGTGCTTTTGCCTGTGTCGAGTCTTATGAAATTGTCTTTTATAATAATTTGTTTAAAAACTTTTTCACAATATGTTGATGCGTCACATTGCGAAGTTTTTGGGAGATTTTGGCGACGATAGTTATATCAAGTCGCCCAAGCGGATAAACAAACTTGAGATTTATATCACCATCACCATCACCATCAAAGCAAAGCACCTGTAACATCGTTATCACTAATAGTTCACGTGCGCATACGTTTAACACACAAAATCGCACCACTTTTACGTATTAAAAATCCACTTTAAACCATTTATACGATAATGCAGGAGCAACCGTCAACAGTCAAGCTCCCGCTAAGACTTCGTCTTGATAATTTATTATTACATAAAGCATAGGGAGATACAGATAACAATTATTTATTCCTATAAGTTTTGATACTTATGTACAATATTCATGTTATGTTTTTATGCTTAGCCATTAAAAAAATTAAAAAAACAGTAGTATACTTGTAGCACGAATGGATCTGCTCGAACGGGGAAGGACCGCGCTCTCACAGAATACCAGCTTAAAATAGCAGCTTAACGCTGCTCTGTTTCGTATGGTGAGTGTAGAGAACCGAAGACCCTTTTTATTGGAAACAAGGCATCCCATCTCAGTCCTCACGGGTGACAGACAACGCATCTGCATTTTGATTTGTAATAGAGGATGGATATAGATGTCTATGGGTCGCAGCAACCACTTACCATCTGGTGGACTGTGTGCTCGCTTGTCACCCTTATCCTATAAAAAAAACTTCTTAAGTCTGAAAAATTGTTTTTAATCTATAACCAATTAAAATATATTGTTGAATCTTAAAATAATTTAAATTTTTATCATCTCATTGCCAGGTGATGAAACATCGCATGTATACGGCGTGATAACAGCTGATGGTCTTTTCGATGGAACGATTTGGACCGCTACCGAGGAGTACTACGTGGAGCCTCTGTCTCGCTACAATGTGGAACACCCTTCCATGCACAGTGTTATTTATCGTACGTCCGACGTTAAGAAGGATGGGGAAGGCCAACACTGTGCATCACATCTACTTCACATCAAGCGAACTTTAGGTCACAATGCTGAACTGTTTAACTTAACTAACCATTGGAATGCAACAGAAACTTATTTAAATAATTACACGGAAGATCTGAACAGCGAAGTACATCAACGAAAGAAACGATGGCTCCCCGAAGACGAAATGCAAGACGACCAGCCAAAGAAAAACCCTGACTTACCTTTGGATTTAGACGTGCCGTACACCAGCAACAGCGATCCCTTCGATAAATTTAGTACGAGAAAACCTAAAACGAAGATAGACAAAAGTAACCTCATAACTAAAGTGCGACTCGATTCCGAAGAAACGAGACCGAAACCAAAGACCCACGTTGAAGTCATTAAAACTAAAGCGGGTGTTGTAACAGTTAGTAAAGACGTTGTTAAGAAGGAACCTGTCGGGTACACGGTGCTGACGGCGAATGCAACAGATGATGGAAGACATGTTAATAAAAGAGCTACTGTGGATCCGAGGAAAACCACGTGCTTAGTGTACCTACAGGCCGATCATATGTTCTACCAAAGATACGGATCGGAGGAAGCATGTATAGAAGTTATGACACGTCACGTGCAGAAAGTTAACGCCATTTACAAAGTCACAGGTGCGTTTTATTAATTTGTTCACTCACGTTTATTTATTACCTCAAGACTACGGATTAGATTGATTAAACACATTTAGGAATCAACTTCTTTTTTACCACGTACCATGTAACTGATCTTAAACTAACTTCCTGATGAGCTAGAAATTTGAAATTTTAAACACGGCTCATATTCGGATGGCAATATAAGAATATGAAAAAACTTGGTATATTAAAAAAATTAATACATATTTTTTTTAAATTTCACTTTTATATTACAGATTTCAATCAAGATGGAAAACCGGACAACATAACATTTATGATTAAGAGAATAAAAGTACACACCTTAGATGCTTTGAAGGATCCCGCTTATCGATTTCCTAATAACTACGGCGTCGAAAAATATTTGGAGCTTTTTTCAGGTACAATTTATTACAATAATTAAAATTATTACTGCTTAAATTACACTTATTCTTATTACAAATAACTTATTTTATAATACAATGTTTTTTTTTTTACAGAGGAAGACTACGACGCCTTCTGTTTGGCTTACATGTTTACGTATCGAGATTTCGAAATGGGTACTTTAGGACTTGCTTGGACCGGTGACCTCAAGAATGCTGGTGGCGTATGTGAAAAGAACGGGGTAAGTGTTTTATATCCCTTATTTTTCCAGCATTACAGATGTAATTTTTCAAAATGTATACATAGGACCATCCCTAAAGTATATCCTATTCGATAAAAGAGTAATCATTAAATCGGTTCAACAGTGCAAACAGTTCAAGCATTGAAAATACTTATAAAAAACATACGCTTCGAACATAGTCCCGCTGGGTTTCTTACTGGTTCTTCCCAGGACGGAGGATTTTTCCGAACCAGTGGTAAAGTAAAAAAAAATACTTTTAATAAGAATTACAGGTGATCAATATTGAATAAAAAATTATTCTATTCTATTCTATAGAACATTCTCGATTTCGGCACTGGGTTAAAAATAGAACTTACAGTTATTAAATAGGAAGTTGATAACGAGGCACATTTTTATATATTATATCATTGCTATGAAATTGTAAATGTTATTTTTAAAACCTATACCTAATTAATATTTATTTATTTTGGCAAAATTAATGTCCCATGAAGTTAAAGAAATTAATTAAATAGACATTTTGACAATCGCAGCACTACCGTGGCAGCATGAAGTCTCTCAACACGGGTATCGTGACACTGCTGAACTACGGTAAACACGTGCCTCCGGCAGTGTCACACGTCACGCTAGCACATGAGATCGGCCACAATTTCGGCTCTCCGGTAAGAAAGATACTATAAGTAAAATTCAACATGAACCATGATTGGGTATTATCATCATCATCAGCCTGCGGCAGTCCACTGTTGAATATAGGCCTCTCCTAAGGCGCCACTTCGATCTTAAGACTTATTAATGCACTTTTGTACATAGGCCTTTTCACGGCCGTGCACTATGAAGGCAGGTCACTGCGTTGCTCTCTGTTGCCAGACGTTCGTGTCGATAATACTCAATACTGAATATATTTTTATACATTATTTTACCTATCTTCATTATAAAGAGTCTAGTGCTGAAATAGATACCATCCAAGATAATATAAGACACTGCTTTGCATCACCAGCTTAAATATATTACGTGTTAAGATTTTTATGCTATTCAGCCAGTATACCTATATCATTCTGAATCTACAAACAGACTAAGTTTGTACGCACCACATCCAACTTACAAAGTTTCCTGCCAACGCCCTATATATTGGAAGTCTGTTGATTTTGATTTTTTTATATAGTAATAAGGATAATAAACGAGCACACAGTCCACCAGATGGTAAGTGGTTGCAGTAGCCCATAGACATCTACATCTATCATCGATTACGAATCAAACTGCAGATGCGTTTTCACCCGTGAGGACTAAGAGGGAATGCCGTCTTTCTAGTAAAAAGGGTCTCCGGTTCTTTACACTCACCATACAAAACACAGCAGCGTTGAGCTGCTATTTTACGCTGGTATTCTGTAAGAGCGTGGTGTTACCCCGGTCGATCCGGACCCATTCGTGCTAGAACTATACCAGTAATATGGCTCTACCACGTAAAAAAAACATTATATAGCCAGTCTTTCTGTCAGTCATCTGATTCAGACAAGATACACACACTCGGCTCTACTAAATAAAATTACATTATTAAAATTAATCTAGATTTATGTGTATAGCTTGCTTTCAAAGTAAGGTAAACGTATTTTTTTATAGAAGTAAGGCGTGACAAACTAACGCATTATCCACTTTATATGGTAAGTAAATTAGAATCTAAAAGCCTTAGGTGTAACCATCGCGTTACGACTAAAAAAGGGTCTCCGTTTCTCGTCACTCACTATACAAAACACTGGCATTATGCTACTATTCCACGTTGGTATTTTGTAAAGTCCTTCCCCGATCGAGCTGACTCATTCGTGCTGAAGCCATACGTTGCATCGTACCTCACCACGAAAAGAGATACATAGAATACATATATCATCATCATTATATCAGGGACTTAAAACGTTATAAATAACAGAATGTATAACGTTATAATAACGTTATAATGGTATCGTTACCTCACCAAGCATAGTGTTTTCAATATTTAGTATAACGTTTTAAGAGTAACAGAACAAAATTGTGACAGGCAATTTAACGTTATTATAACGATAAAGACGCGACGTTGCCAAACCTATTCATTTTCAAAAGCGCGCGAATCCGCGCGACTTACAAGATGGGAGGGACCTGGGATCCAATTGGTCTACTAGATAGCTTGGACGAACGAGGAATTCCTCGCACCGCACGCACTCTAGAAGCGAACTGGCAACGTTGTAAAGTGAAAGAACATTTGATAATATCAACCGCTTGCGAATTGCGATTTGCGACGTATTAATTATTATACCTAGATAAATTTATTTATTTATTCTTTATTGCACCTAATATTTATACAAAAGGCGAGCATAATGCTATAATATGGCATTCTCTACCAGCTAACCTTAAATATCATATTACTTATATTTATTTATTTTTTAAAGTTGATTCGAACAACACTTGTTTACAAATATTGAAACTGGATCGTAAAAATTAATAAATTTTATAGATATTTTAATCTTGATGAATAGTAAGACTTCAAAATGTTTAGTTGCTGGATACGAAAAAAATTTGAAGGTAAGTTAAGCAAAAATCTTAGATAACGTGTAGAAGAATGCGCCTTTTTCAGTCAGTTTTTATTAAGAAAAATATTGTATTTATATATGTACATATATAAATACAATATTTTTCTTAATAAAAACTGGGTCTCCTAGAAAACAGGACACCAGCCTACTTTACCTTCTGTTAGAGCGTGGTCCTTCCCCGGTCGAGCCGACCCATTCGTACTACTACTATAGTACTAATATAGCTGCAGCCTGCAGCATGTTTCATATCTTAATGCATTATACTTTTTTAGATTTACGCAAATATTTGACATTTTAAATAAATCTATCAATATTATTTTAGCCAATATCACAAACACTAGTGAACCGATTTTAATGAAATCGATATTATTCCCTAAGTTGAAATAAATGTAAGCAAATAATCCCTAAGTTAAAATAAATAAAAAACGAATGATCACGATCCGACTAGTTTCGAAGAAATGCGTGGACAAACACACATATACACACATATACACACGTATAAAATTTTGTATATTTGCTTGGAAGCTCTAATAGATAAATTACATGTGAATATTTTGCAGTTCCAATAATATTACATACATACGTGTCGAATTGATAACCTTCTTTTTTGAAGTCGGTTAAAAATTCAAACCGACTTTGCGCTTAACAGAACATATCTTGAAAACTACTGAAGCGATTTTTATGAAAATTGCACTGTTCTTTAAGTTGAATGATGCTTAATATAATAAAAAAGTGTGTGTGTACTTATATAGGTATATACGCACGTAGGAATTTACACTTTTTTAGCGTAACAAACCAAAAATAACTAAAAATTATATAGGATTCTAGTGACAATTAATTGACGGCTCCGTGGTGCAGTGGCTTAACAATGAGTAGCAGCGCTAAGGGCCGCGGGTTCGATTCCCGAACAGAATAAGTATTTGTATGGCCTACAAATAATTGTTCTAGGTCTAGATGTTTATCCTTGTGAAATCCATGTATGTAAACGTCCCCTGCGATACAGGAGAAAATCTAATTATAAAAGTAAAATTTGTGGAGATAACGTTTTTAAAAATATATATATGATTTGTATTTATTAAGATTTTTAAACCTTATTATTCTTACTTTTACTCTTTATATTGTTTCACAAAATATCACGTATACATCAATCACGTCTTTTGATGGGTAAATTTAACCTCTTTTATCTTTAAGGATATAAATAAATTAAACAATTTTACATCATTATGCTGAGAAGCTCAGAATGCCAAACTGCGATACAATCTCCCCACTTAAGTTTGTTTAGCAAAACTTTTCCTCTCTATCCACATTTAATATATTGCAAAATAATGTAGTTTTCTTATGTGCATGGTAAGAAAATCACTTAATATTAATATACTTTGAAGTGGCAGAGAATTATATAATATATATGTTGAATTCCTTTAGATCGAGAGCTGTGGTAGCTCAGATGGATAGCGCTCGCTGTAAGCTTCACAGTACTCGAGCAACCCGGGTTCGATCCCCGCCGGCACCAACGAAATTGTTACTTGCAATTTTACGTGCTGATTTACCACGTGCTCGGCGGTGAAAGAAAACATCGTGAGGAAACCTGCATGTCTGAGAAATAAGAAAAAAAAATATTTCAAAGACGTGAAGTTCGCCAACAGGCATTGGGGCAGCGCGGCGAACATTTCCTTGCCCTATAACCCTCTCAGAAATGAGAGGAGGCCTGTGCCCAACAGTGGGACGTAAATAGGCTGCAACTTTACTTTACTTTCCTTTAGATCTATCATATACTTTCTTTTGAGCATGTCCATTTATTAACTCTTTTCTTTGTCTATTATTGTTCTTTTTAATTTAGATATTTTTTTAACATTATCGTCTTTCTTGGTGTCACTTCAATACTACTGATTGATATAGTATAAGCAGATAAGCTAAGTAGAGGTTCAACTGTGTTGATATGTGGATGATCTATGTGGAAGATCAACCTAGAATTCAAACAAATTAAATAGACAAGACAGACTTATTGGAACGAAGTTCCTTATCGGACGGTACGAATTTGGCGGATGGGGGCTAGGCGAGAAAAAATGTAAGATTTTTCCGTCACGACCCCTACTGACGTATAATAAAGCGAGATGGAATATTATCCATCTCCCTCGCACTTTTTTTTATCTTGCCATGAAAGAAATATTATTTAATTTTAAATGACGCTTAATTTTAATAGACGCTAGTAATTCATTGTATTTGTTAATCAATAATTTTAGACTTTTATCAATAATAATAATATAATATACTACGAAATGTACTTCGTTCCAACCGAGTGTTCCACGACACTCACGCATGTTTTATTTTCACATTACTTATGAAATTCAAGGGCAATCTGACATATAATCTAGTTTAACAATAATATATAGAAGAATATTTCAACTTCTGTACAATTATTTTGTCTACAAAATCCTTAATTTATGCAGTGAGATATTAAGAACATCATTTTATTGTTATGAATGTAATACAAAGTTTATGAACTATTTATTTTGAAACACCCATATTGCGAGTTGTATGTACTACTACAGTTGATAATTCAATTGCTGCGCTGACGACCACAAAACGTATTTTTTAGTCAGTTAGTAAAAGAGATGGCATAGAACAATAAATAATAACATTATGATTTTGTGATAACAATATTTTAGAAACGTTTATTTGACAAATTTATTGTAATGTAATTATAACGTTATATACATGCAAAGCTTTGCATAATATCGTTTTGACATATCGTTTGTCTTAAACATAACGTTATCTCGCACTTGCGCAGATAACGTTACTGTATTTTAACGGTATTTAAGTCCCTGCATTATATCCTATCAAAGTCCACTGCTTAACATTGGTCTCCCTTATAGATTGCCTCATAGATGGGGGATATATGCCTTAGGTGCCACGCTTTGTAAGCAGGTTGGCAACTGCAATCCTTCATTAATATGAGTTGTTTTCACAAATATACTGCCGGCCATTCTTGTTTCAGTTTCCCTCCGACGCCTCTCACGACACCCACGGGATGATATGGGGTATTGGATTATCTTTCGCCGTCACTACACGGCGGCACGCACATATGCAAACATTAAATTAAAAAACGTAACACTATTTCAGCATGACCCCGAAGTGTGCACGCCTTTTGGCGAGGACGGTAACTACATAATGTTCGCGCGCGCGACGAGCGGAGACAGGAAGAACAACAACAAGTTTTCACCGTGTTCGCTGCGCGCCATCGACCCCGTTCTCAACAATAAGGCCCGCTCACCTAAGGGATGCTTTACAGGTAAATAACTTTCACTTTAGTATTCTTTATAAACATTAAACCTTAAACCACCTTATGGTGGTAAAAGGATACCCTTTCTGGCTAGGCTCACCTAATTTGTATCTTATTTTATAACATTTTGCATATGCCAAACCAATTTTCTGCGAAACTAAACAAGATTTAGCTACTTTAGTCCCAATTATTTTATGTAAATTCAATTGCACCCACTGCAAGGGGAAATATGACTGTCATTTTTTTTTTCAAATGTCACCTAGCAGTGCATTGTTCAAATGTCACAATGCAGCTAATTATAGATGCAGCAGAAATGTGTCGTATCCATTTAGTCTAAATAATATAAAACGTAACTAATATTTCTCAAAGAAACATTAATTAATCTCAAAATTTTTACAACCAATTAACTTCCCCGCTGTGAAATCTGACAAATATTTCACCAGTACCAGTAGTTAGTTATACGAGTACCAGTAACGACCGCTAGTTAATATAGTTAGGTAAGTTATTAAGTACGGATATGACTTGCTGTTGAAAGGAATGTCAATTGGCAACCACTGAAGATATATAATATTATATATTATGACAGGCACGCACTTGTTGTATAAACATGCGTCCTTTGTTATGTTATGGCTGAATATAATGAAGTGATGATTTCTTACATTTACGCGAAGACTACACATTAAATGAAAGTAATTTTTATGGATTTTATCGCGTTTAATTTAAACTTTTTAATTCTCGACGTTTCGGGTGCTTTACAGCACCCATGGTCACGGGGCGGACTAAGGTGTTTGACGTCCCGATGTCAAACCCGCGGGAAAGGACATAGATGATTTGAAGCACCGACGTTCCGGGAAGTCTGTAGGGTGTGAACATGTTCAAGATCGTACTCGCCATTACATTAGATTTGATAGACCACAAATCCTCGCAAAGGAACACCGATTCCTACCAAGGATGATTCGGGAGGCTATTGAAAGTAAAAAACATCCAAATTTCAGAGAAGATGGATGGGAACCCAAGCATACCACTGCAAAACTTCAAGATACTGTAAGCTCATTCTGCGTACATCGGACCAAAAATTAATATTCAAAAACTGAAGGTAGCCGAGCTAACTATGACATCGGGACGTTAAACACCTCAGCCCCCCCGTGACCATGGGTTCTGTAAAGCACCCGAAACGTCGGGAATTAAAAAGTTAAATTAAACGGGATAGAATCCGTAAAAATTTGTTTCATTTAATGTATAAATGAAGTGTTTAAATAATTTGTGCGGCGTTCCAGAGCCGCAGCCGGCCATCTGCGGCAACGGCGTGGTGGAGGAGGGCGAGGAGTGTGACTGCGGCTGGGCGTCCGAGTGCACGGACGTGTGCTGCCGGCCGCAGGCCGCGCGCCCGCACTACAAGCCCTGCACGCTCACCGAGCACAGCGTCTGCAGCCCCAGCCAGGTACACAACAACCACATTAACGGCTTGTTTCTTTGACTCCTCTGTGCCGTAGTGGCTTAGCAATCACTTGCAGCGCTAGGGGCCGCGGCTTCGAATCCCGCACGGAACAAGTATTTTTATGGCCTACAAATAATTGTTCTGGGGGCTGAATGCTTGTCCTTTTGGAATCTATGTATGTAAACTGCTCCCGCGATACAGGAGAAAATCCTAGTGTTGAGATAACGTTTTTTTTTTAAATCTATACAAATAAATAAAATTGAAGTGTCTGTTTGTAATGTTAAAATAACAGCTTTTTACTAAATGCATATGAAAGTATAAACGGTACTTATAACAATGACAACGAGAATTGACCGTAATTTAGTGCGCAGTGTATCAGGGTCGCAGAACTCGTCTACTTGTATAGAATGAAGTGTGTGGAAGTACTGTACGGCGATGTGTGTTTCGTAGGGCCCGTGCTGCACGGCGTCGTGCACGCTCAAATTCGGCGACAAGTGCCGCTCGGACAACGGCTGCCGCGACGCCGCGCACTGCGACGGCCGCCGCGCCGCCTGCCCGCCCAGCCGCCACAAGCCCAACCGCACCAGATGCGACAAGGAGCTCGTCTGCTTCATGGGGGTGAGCCTCGCGACATACAAACACAAACGCGCTGCGTACATTTGCGACGCTGAAGCTTAGCTATAACCACAAACAAATACAAACACGCTGCGTACATTCGTGACACATAATCCAAAACCACGCTCAACATATTTTATCAGCTTATACAACACGCACTCACGTGTAAAAAATTAATTGAAAACTTATTATTTTTTTATCGAATGGGCATGTAGTTTTTGGTATAGCAACTGTATCACTTTTTTTATATATATTTATATTTTTAAAATAAAAAAAAATATTAAGGATGTGAGTGTGACGGTGCCAATAGAGCCTTGTAATATTAGAAAGGTGTCAATAAGGAGACTTATACGATCCAACCATACATTTCTGCTTGCTTTAACATTTTACGCAACACTATTACGTACAATCACTATAGCTTGACAATTACAAAAATTGAGTTAGTTCACGTTTTCATCGTAACCGCGACGGACGCGAATTCATTAACATAACATTTAACATTATAACATTAACATTTAGCATTATTCAACATAATTTAATATTATATTTTTTACTTGTTAAACCTTGTTTACTTGTATTAAACCGTTTTAACATAAAATTTAAATTATTATTGAACATTCGTCCCATGAAGCAAAGAGGAAACGGCATAAGCAACTGTGCACTGTGATTCTAAGTAGGTCCTGACATCATCATAGTGGGTGTGGCTTTAGTTAGTATACTCTCAGCATTCGTCCTGTGCGCTTATGTGTTGAAAAAATCGCAAATCGGTATTTTCGTAGTATTAAGAAGAAAAGGATGAAGTGTTGTGTTTTATCGTGTAAAAACAACCCATATACTCGTAGACGCTCTGATGTTATGGACAGGCCGCCACCTACCGTCAAGGTAACTAAACTACATTGCAACATCGATATGGAACGATTCCAGTAGTTTTACTATTTATCGGTAGATGTAGATAGTGTTAAGTGGGCGGGCTTTTGCACCCCTCACCCCGCAAATTGTCACGCGTTGTTACATAGTGAATTTTTTTTATATATAGAATAAGGGTGACAAACGAGCACACAGTCCACCTGATGGTAAGTGGCTGCTGCGGCCCATAGACATCTACATTTATCCTCTATTACAAATCAAAATATAGATGCGTTGTCACCCGTGAGGACTAAGATGGAATGCCTCATTTCCAGTAAAAAGGGCCTCCGGCCACCTGCACTCACCAAGCGAAACGCAGAGGTAAACCTCTACTTCACGCTGGTTTTCTGTGAGGATGTGGTACCACCCCGGTTCGAGCCAGCCCATCCGTGCGGCAGCAAAAGCTGCCGCGTGGCTCTACCACATGGATTTTGGATGGAAATTTAATTACAACGTCTCCTCTTTGTATTTGCTTCATGATTCGTCCAATACCCGAACAAAACTTGTGTCTGATATTAGGTTTTTAATTGGACTACTTCCTATTCTAGACTTAACTCATATATAATTTAGTCGTGTGGCTACAACACTAAGAGTATGTCACACGTGAGTACAGCCATATCATGCGCAATTGTCGATTTATCTTTAGTGAAGTAGAATACGGCGTGAGTACTTTGAACGTTCTATAACGTGATTGGTCCATTATTTAATCTTCACCATCCATTTGATATTCACGCCTGCAGTACGTTAGCTGAAAATGTACATGCGCTAATGCTGGCGCTCACGACTCGGTCCGCTATTTGTACACGTATGCATCTAAAATATTTGCAGCCAATAACAAAATAATGTCCACCAAACCTAAATTCGGTCACGGCGGCTCCTCGACTGGGCATCTGCGCATTATACGATTATCATTCCCGAGTGATACGCAAGTACAGGTGCACTGTTTACTCCTTCACTCTCTAAATTCGATGGGACGATAATCCGACACGACGGGAGAGAGATGAGGTGCAGGAGCAACGGCTTTACGTGCTTTCCGCTGCACGGAGGTTTAACGCCGTCAACTTCCCGACTCCGGGCTGCCACTAAGAATCTCTTGACAATTTTCAATTGGGACCTCATAATTAGCAATCGCGTTTACGACAGCCAACATCATGGTTTTAGATGCATTAGTGTGCGTCCAGCGGTGTTATGAGCTGAATAAGCTGATACAGAAAAAAAGAAGGAAGATGTGTGCAAGGCACATGTTCGAATACATATGAAGAATTTGAGCATGATTTCGGCTTCACTTAAAATGTACACAGCGCTCCATCTATCTTTGTTTGTTTATCTGAAGGGCGAGCAACGTCAAGGTCAATATATTTTATTCAAAGATCACCTTTACAAAACATTTTTTTTAAAGTCAAGGGAGTTATCCATAGCTTCAATGTGTCCCTACTGTCAAACTTTGTGAGAACAACCCGTAAAAATTCACAAGTATGCTATATTTCTCCCATCAGTTACAACTTAACATTATAATGTATTTCTTTTTAATATTCTTCATTGCACACAATACAAACATGCAGAAATTATTTATACAAAAGAAGTATGCAATGGGCGGTCTTATTGCTGACAACAATATCCTCCAGACAACCAATAACTACGTATATGTATGTAAAAGTTGAAAAAGTCTATGGCTTATTAAATCATCAAATTTTTAATACACGTGCTTCATAAAAGTGCAGGCATCAATGAGTATAAGGTTGCTACATTCAGCTACAACCTAAAGCGGATTTTAGTCATATGGTGCCCTAGGGCACCATATGACTAAAATAGACTAAACTAGACTCATCGCGACAACCATTTCAATATAATTACATTTACAAAACAAAAAGAGACATCTTTCTTTCTTTCTAAAAGTGAATCATACCCGTATGAGTGCATGGGCTCTATCTTTCTGGCGTACGGCTAGAGTCGTGCCATATAATATATACAATAGACATGTATCAATCGTTCATTTCTAGTGACGTTCAAGTATTGATTCGTTATACCTACCGAGTCATAGGATCGTTCAAAAATATGATTGCAATTATCAATACTTTTACGCGACCCAGGTCAAATGACGTAATCGTTCACGATTGACACATGTCTAATTATACAATAAGGTACAGACAAAAGTGAACCGTGTCGTTAGGTGTGCACGGGCTCTATCTGCCTGGCGTACGGACTGGAGTCGTGACATACGTGTACATTAGGATGCATACAAAAATGAACCGTATCGTTAGGAGTGCACGGGCTCAATCTGCCTGGCGTACGGACTGGAGTCGTGACTTACGTGTACATTAGGATGCATACAAAAATGAACCGTATCGTTAGGAGTGCACGGGCTCAATCTGCCTGGCGTACGGGCTGGAGTCGTGCCAGTGCGCGGCGCGCGCGGACGACCCGCGCTCGGCGTGCGAGCTGTGCTGCCGCGCGCCGGGCGGCGCCTGCGTCTCCTCGTTCCGCTGGAACACGCCGCCCTACGACGTGCCCGACATGTACGCGAAGCCCGGCACGCCCTGCAACGATTACAACGGGTCAGTATAACGTTTACCGCTTTTCTAATACGCTTTTATTAACTGTTATTATATATGTAGTTTTATGAATTTTTTTATAAAATCTTTATTGCATCCTTTAGAAAAAAAAGAATACAAAGGGCGGACTTAGTGCCTAAAGGCATTCTTTACCTGTCAACCCATGGAATGGTGAGAATTTGACGTAGGTAGTTATAGCAATTAAAAGTAAATATGTAACAAAATCTATTATGATATACTATTGTAAGTAAATACATATTTACTACAGGGTTATTTTTCACAGAGAAGCCAAATTTAAACTTAAGTTCAGATATATAAATAATAATACGAGTATACCCTTATTGCAGTTTTTGAAAATACGAGTAAATAAGACTTCTACTTTTATTTGAAATTATCACAAATTGAATGTGATTTATGGGCAACAACAACATCGCGTACCTCTGTGCGCGATTCAATTCTCAACGTTTTTGCCAACCGATCGACCCTTACGAATGTATGCATGCGTAGCAAAATAGTACGCGTTTGATATTTTTATGAATGACAATCAGTTAAAATAATGCATTACCACGCATTTTGAATTTAAAAGATAAAAAAGACAGAATGTTTGAGATTTTTTAAATTATTCTTTCTTCACCCTTTGCCTAGATTACTTATTTTGAACCTTTTCTGCAAATTTGGCCGGTTATTGCAAAATAACAACAATTCATTTATGTATGTATGTATTTAGGAATGAATGAATATAATGGTATTTTATAATGTAGTCACCAAACTGACAAACAAACTTACTGTCTACCCGATGGTAAGTGGCTACTGTCACCGATAGTCACTTGTGGCGAACTTCAAACAAAGGAGGATACAGATGCGTTTTCACCTACAAGGACTGACATGTACAAAGATTTTTTGAATACATTTTAAAATTCATAGCGTGAGGTACAAGTCGCGGCACGTAAGTCTAGCACTGAACGAAACGTGGAGGGGACGCGTACGAATTGAATTGCACGAATGCAACTAGAGAGCCAATCAGCGTGTGCGAACGATACGCGCGAGCCAATCAGCGCGACTTATGCGCAATAAGCCAATCAGCGTGACTTATGCGCAATAACGGTCACCGCTAGACTTTCGTGCCGCTACTTATAATAGCTCTAGAGTTCATCCCGTTTCGTCCCGCAGTGAGATATAACTGTAAGAGGCGATATTACCGTCACTAGCATAAACGACCGTTACAGGTTACAGGCTAATACAGAAAATGACGTATTATGTACATACTAAATTATATAATATTTTAATTCTGACGTTAAAAATTATATGATATTTTACTGTTGCAGCTACTGCGACGTGTTCCAACGCTGCCGCGAAGTGGATCCGTCGGGTCCTCTAGCGACTTTACGCAAGCTGCTGCTTTCGGACGAGAGCCTCGCCGGCTTCAAACGGTGGGTGCTTCGGCACTGGTACGCCGTGCTACTCATCCTGCTCGCTGTCATCGGGTTGCTGGTGAGTTGACACTCCACTTGATCTTACTGAGGCTACACTCACATTGCATTAACTTAACACTGTTACACATACCTACACACTCTACTTTACTAACACTCACACTGACATAACACTAATATTTTATGACAATAATGATTAGACTGTGGCGGCAAAAGAAAATCATTATGGATGGGTAAGAAATTACCACTGTTTTTCTCATTTTATAATGAAGAAAAAAAATTTGAGAAATATTTCCTTACTTTCAATTAATTCCGCATAACGGTTATATATTGGACGACCTTTTTATCGTGAGAAAAAAAATAATGACGTAATTGCGTGGGGTGTAATTTTAAAAAATACCTGTTCTGTAGTGCTAAATATTAAATTTATTTTCTTCAAGTACACTTTTTTAATTTAGAGAAAATAAAAAGCGATTAAAAATATCGAATTTCTAAATAATGTACACCCTACACTACGCGTAGTAAAAATCAATGAATTTTTAACGCTTTAGACCTTGAACCGACCGCTAGATAAAATGTTAACTTCAAATTAATAGTACTCTTAGAGTATAAATAGCACAGCTTACTTTTAAATGCTCTAAAGTACTACCTATTTATTGATCAATTTGATAAAATTGTCAATGAAAATACCAATAAAAACATTAAAAATATCTATGCCTAGGGCTTGTATTTCGTTCACTTATTACACCCTTTTTTCCTTACGGTAAAAATGTCACACGATGTCTAGCAATCTTATATACCTACTTAATTTTTTTTTAAATAACAATCGTTATCCACTATCACTAGCGGTTACGTATCGTAAATATGTTTTACAAAATATAAATTGCAATTTTATTTTTACAAAAGAAAGTATTGTAAAGTGGATGTTTCATTAAAGTTTTGAAAGAATATTTGTACGTGACGTCTTACTTTGTGGTATTAACAGACGTTACACTGTGTGATGGCCCTTATAGATTGCAGACTGCGTCATTGGTCTAGTGGTCGTAAGCACGACTACTGATAATGAGGTCTCGGGTTCGAACCCCGGGTCAGGCCAAAATCAGTATTGGGTTTTTTATCAAGAAATTCTCAGTAGCAACTAGGAGTCACGAAGTAGGTGGTTGTACTCCCGTGACTCGGAAAGTACATAAAGACGTTGGTCCTGCACATGATCTCTCTACTATGGAGTCGGATTGACGTCCCATCGGACTATGCGAGTGAGGGAATAGAGAGTGCACCTTTGCTTGCGCACACACTCGTGCACTATAGTTTTGTCCTATTCGGATGGCTAGTCTCAGTTGAGAGCAACCGCTGCGACTGAAATTTGGTATGGAGGACATTATAGATTGCAAAGAGCTGATGTTCCAATGATTTTGTAATAGGCTTCGCTTTTGTGTCTTGATAATTATTAGTTAAAAGCTGAATAAAAAGTGAAAATTATGCCAAGCTTACCATAAATTATATTTGTTTTCTTGATAGCGTTGCTGCCGCATACTCGACACTGATTTTGAGATTGACACTAAATGCTAGTGTCATCTATTCCATTAATTTTAAGGTATCAAAAACAAATTAATTGTAAGCTATAGTGTGGTCATCATGCCTTATCCTATTTTATAACTCTTTGAGTAATACGCTAGGTTTTCAGAGACAGCCTGTATAACAGTATATTCTCTTGTCAGGCATCAGTAATTTCAACCGACCACGGTAAAATCAGAGCTAACATTTTCATGATTTACCACATATTGACATAATATATTTATATATGTAGTGTCACAATCAAATATAGAAAAATTAAAAGGGAGGTTTCAATTAGGGAATGCAAAACTGGCACAAATTAAAATCCGATTTTGCTTTCGAATTTTTTATAAAAATAAACTCGGTTTTCAGTAAAACCGGTTTGAAAATAAGATTTGCTATTCTTTGTATAAATTATATTGTTAAACTGCATGTGAAACTCAGGCTTATTCAGATTCGACACTTGTGGGCTTGATCGTAATGAGAGCTTTGTATGGCTTTGTTAAAAAACTCCCGTGTCCACCGCTATTCTCGTGAAATGCGATTTCACATAACACTATTTTTTCGGTTACTAAATTTAGCGCAGATAAAGATGGTTTAGTAGCTCTTTTTTGGTTTCTATGCGTGCAAAAGCTCCTCTCTCTTTGAAACTTTTGAAAGTAGGAGTTGAAGAAGCAGTGTTCAACCTATGATGTTCTGCCAAAGTAAGTTTTCGATACGATAGGTAGATTTTATGAAATCTGCGGTTAGTTTTTGAAATAAAGAATCACTGTCAATGTCATCGAAAAATACTTGAGCGTCTTCTAAATATTTTAGAACACCTTGTATTAATAGGTATCTCTCACCTACTCTCTTTCGTAAAGCTGTCTGCAGTTCATAACTTAGATTGCCATGTCATTTGAAGGCTTGACAGTTTTCCGAACATGCATTTTAACGCAGTGTCAGCTATAAGAGGAGTTGTCCAAGTTGGCAAGTCCTTTTACTATTTCGAGTGCTTCTTTTAATGGATTTAGAAAGGTGATTTCATTGTCTGTGAAACGAATATCCGATTTTAAGTCCAGCAACGCTTTCTGTATATACTCATAAAGTACTAAAATCTTTCAACCATATCGCATAAAGAACTCCATCTCGTTTTGCAGTCCAAAATCACACATATTTCATGGCTAAACTTCTCTTTTACGCACTTTTGTAGCATGTCATCATTTTTGGGTGGCAGATTTTCTAAAAATGTTCACAACCTGTCTAACTTTTTGAATCAAGTCTTTGTAGTATTGATTAGAAACACTGGAACTGGATCTTTGTCTATTTTCTGTCTCAACTGATACACCATCTTCTTCATCATCACTATCAGAGTCAGATAGATTACAATTTTCTGCTACAGCATCGTAAGTTGTTACACTAGCTACTTAATGTTTTTTGTAGAGTACATCCAATACTGCCAGTTGTATGCCAGGCGCATAACACAGTTGATGATATACGAATAAACATTTTCCCATCTTCACCATAACAGCAGCCCGTTCAGTAGAAAGGCCTGCAATATCATCTTCAAGAGACAAATCGAACTCGTCTTAGGACGTTTTACGGTAAAGGTAATATTTTCGGAGTTATGAATTTTTAAAGGTTTGAAAAATCCCAAATTCAGATACTTTTGACTCATTAAAAATATATAAAGAAAAAGAATAAAAATATAAAATATACTTTTCTTTATATTCTTATTTACTTTACTTTTATTATATATGTACTCTTAATATAAGTAAAAAAGTAAACATTAAAATCGGTTCACAATGATTTCCGTATGTACACTCTTATCTATGCACAATGAGGCCTTATAATTTTAAGCTTACCAGATGTCGCTTGTTGGAAGTGTCATCATCATTGAAAGTTGCCTTTGAAATGAGTTTTTCTGTTCATATATGTATGCTTATACTGACTTATACACAAAACAATGACTCAGTGCCGTTATTCTTAATTTTTTACACATTTAAAAAAATATGTTTAATTCTTCTATTTTTAGGAATTACCATAGTTTAGTTTATCTTTGGCTTAGCTTTCCATTGACGTCAGTGGAGTTTGGTGTTGATACGTATTTTTACAGAAAGATTACACTATTATAAGCACACACACAAAGTCTCAATATACGGAAACGCGTAATTTTTGAGAAAAGAATAATTGAAAATCAATTATTCTTGCAATGTTTATGTCTAATCTGCTAATAAACTGGCGCCATTTTGTAATGTCATTGTCGACGTCAATAGGGATGTCGATTCTTTCCGAAAAAGGTCGGTTTTTAAATCGATTCAAATCGTAAGCTGATGTATCGGTTCACGAAAAATCGATTTCTAAAATATCTATATTTTTTTAATATTTCTATTTATAATGCAAATATAAACCCATTTTATGAAAAACAAGAAGGATACCATGATAAATGATCTCTTATTGAAATTTGTTTTATTTAACAGTACCTATTAGGGCAGATAACAAATAAAATAGGTTAGGTTCAACTTATGTCAAAGAACCGAATTGATTGACCCCAACTCCACCTGGTACGAGTCTGTCCTACCCCTAGAGTGGTTTTATAGAGCCGGAGGCGCGTAGGGGGAGCAGCCTCCGCCTGCTGTAACAAATCGTAGATATCGGACGAGCCGGAGCGGCTGAGGCTGGTCGCCGAAGGCGACCAACAAGCCGAAGCTGCGGAGGCGAGGAGGGATGCCTGCGATTTGTTACGCTAAGGCGTAGAGGTTACTCTTCCCGCAGCGCCGTAGACGTAGCAGTGTCAAAATAGATACAGAAATCCTTATGAATCAGTCCCCTTATTTTTTATGATGAAGGGGATTTTTTTCTCATAAAATGGATTTATATTTACATTATAAATGCAAACATGAAAAAAATATCGATATTTTAGAAATCGATTTTTTTGGGAATCGATACATCAGCTTACAATTTGAATTGATTTAAAAATCGACCTTTTTCGGAAAAACTCGACATCCCTATTGACGTCGACAATGACATCACAAAATGGCGCCAGTTTATTAGCAGATTAGACATAAACATTGCAAGAATAATTGATTTTCAATTATTCTTTTCTCAAAAATTACGCGTTTCCGTATATTGAGACTTTGTGTGTGTGCTTATAATAGTGTAATCTTTCTGTAAAAATACGTATCAACACCAAACTCCACTGACGTCAATGGAAAGTCGTACCAGAAACATTAATCTATAAACTTTAATAACAAAATAACTTCCCGCGCCATAAAATCTGTCAACCAGCCAGAAAAAGTCGTGGATGCCCTCAATGACAAAGGCATTGCATAACATACATCCAATAAAATACAGTTAAATTGAGAACCTTTTACTTTTTGGAAGTAAGATAAACATACAAAATCTTCATCATTAATCATCATTATCAATCAATCATCGTAATAGACTAACAATAAGCACAGCTACATTTTATTTTATATGTGTGTTATAAACGGATCGTAAAGATAAAAATTAAATGTATTTTATTTTAAAAACTACTTTCGCTAAGTATTTACGCAGGTATTTAATTTTAAAACGATATTTCCAGTTTGCAAGTACCCGTTTCCTGGGCCGTCACGGCAAAAAGCTTAAGTCCGTCACTATAATTCACTCATCGACAACTGAAACCGTCCGCTTACCCGACGCAGCTGATCAAGGATTGATCGTTCATACAGCTGTTAGGTAAACTACATTTATTATTTACAAATATACAACTAACATAATATTTATAGCTAATGTAGTTTATTTATTATGTAAATCAAATCAAATCTATTTCTCAGGTCCAAACTTCCCCTTAAGAAGAAAGTGGCTCTGCGAACACGAGCGTACAGAAGCAAGAAGGACCATCAGAACAAGCAAGGAGACAAAGCGTCGCCTTCTTATAACGCGAACAAAAAGAGAGTAAGAAAAATAAATATGTGTTATATTATCATAATTTACTTTACGATATCTATACTTATCGTTAATTCGTTTCAGAAGCCGAGTAATCAGTCTAAGTCAGAAGAGACACGTAAAGTTACTAAAGAAAACACTGCTATAGTAACAAACGCGGAAGGAAAATCTCCAAAACACGTGCTTCTGTCCAAAAACAAGGGAAAAATCAAGAAACGCAAGGCTAAAGTGAAGAAAGAGACCATAGACTACAGTTCAATGCAGAAACTTCCTTCGTCTCCAGTCAAAGACACAGAAGCATTGTCGAAAGTGCAAAAATGGCTTCTCAGCTCCCCTCAACCGACAGCCATACCTAAATCCAAATCCATACCATTAGGTCTAACCGAAAGAACTAACAGACAAATTTCGAAGGGATCGCGGAAAACTAGACCTTCGAAGAGCGCAACAAACCTCCTTGCTGGCGAAAAGGCCAGACTGCAAGTCGTATTCAAACCACCCTTCAGATTTAGCGTGAAAATTTGCAAAAGCGATAAAACCAAAGTTGTTTTAGACAAGTCGTCCAAACCTGACATTGATAAGAAGCGACATGATTTACCCCAACAGACGTGCCCGGCAGACCCTGTGAATGCTAACACCTCTAAAGTTAAACATTCAAATTCGTCTAAAACCAACACAGTCAACACAACATCCAGTGCTAAATCAGATAAAACACAGGTTCAAGAAAAGGTCGCTCATGGTTACGAAAACCTACTCCCACGCAGCGCCAGTGATTGCAAATTGGGGAAGAATCTTCTAGAAGGAAAACACAGAAGTGGTCACAAAAAGAGTAATTCATTCGGTCAAAAACGAGAGACTACCGAAAGCCGACAGAACCTCATAACCCAAGACGACTGCGACACTGCGCACGTGTATGAAAACGTCCTAATGCCGCAAGATAACTTCGTACCAAAGAGTTGCAGTATGCCACGTAGAATAACGACCAGCGGAATATCGAGGCAAAGCAGTTACGGACATTTACCGAGGGCTCAAATTCGCCAACATAGGCACAGTACAAACAACGTCAGCAGATCGCGAACAAACAGCGCCAACGAACTCGAACACTTCTACAATATAATAGAAACATTGCGCCGAGGCAACACAAACACGTGCGAAACTAACACAAGCAGCTCTTCTGGAAGCAGTCGCCATGAAACTGTGAAGGATGGCGCGCGACAGAGTAGGACCTCGCGACAGAACAGTCTAGTCGACAAGTCACGCTTGAGCCCGACAGAAGTGACCAAATTAAAGCGACAATCAAGTGAGGCTGAACTTGGCAAATCTCAATTCACCGACACCAGCCGAGGCTTCCAGTTAGTGGTGGGGAAGGACAAACTGAAGCGTCAATTAAGCGACAACGAACTGTCCAGGTCACGCTTGCAATTGGCTATGCCAATGTCGGCAGGGGCGGAGCCGCGTCAACCATTTTGTTGGAATAAACGGGCAAGCCTTGATTGTGAAGCTACATTAGGCCATCGTTTGTCTTCAAAATCTCGAGGAAATAAAGTGAAATCAACTTACACGTTCGGTGAACTGAAAAATACCGTCCCCAACGCGACTGAAACAAACGTTGAAGGTATCCACATCTCACCAGAGGACTTCTTAAAAATCATAGACAATTAAAACATTCCATGGACTATTAGATATGTTTTTTTTTTAATTACGAACAAATAATCGATGTGTATATTAGATATGCGCAACGCATATCTATCGACGGCTGATGTAAATATTGTAATTTGCTTTTAATAATAGGACTAATATAACCTGCCACTGAAACAGGCCATTGTTTAGTTGTCTGTGGAAATACAGACTAAAATAAAAAAATACTACTTTATGCAATGTTAACTTACGTTTGTGACGATCATAAAATAGAAATAAAGGAACGAAGTTTCGTGTAAATCTTATACAATATGTAGAAAATCCGTATCCATTATATAGGATACGGATTTTCTATTAGGGTATCTTAAACGCTCTTCGACATTCCATCCGATTTCAGCAGTATTTGTACACTGGCAATGGTCTAGTTTCACTGTACGATCTCTATAAATGAATCTCTATTTTTTCTACATACTATGTACCTATTGTACAAATTAACTCATACCTATGTAAAGTGTTCATATGCTGTTACGTTATATAGCAATATTAAAATATTTTAACGCGACTCCCATTTATTTAGCATTAATATCGATTTCGCTTAGTATAATAATACTTCCTAAAGACGAGATTTATTTAAATGTAGTTTTTTTTTCTTTTTAATAGCTGTCAATTATCACGTCAATGTGTTTGAACTAGTAATAACCACACAGAAAGCAAAAATCTAACACTATTAATCAATTAATTAGTCATTATAGAAATCCCATTAAAGTATTTGTAGGAATTCAATAATTCGTAATTGTTTCTAACCTTTTATTCTAATCTTTATGTAATAATTTTGTGTGGATTGTAATTTCTAAGTGGTAAACTGCCAAATTTTAATAACGATACGAAAGCAGAATTTTTTTGGGATCCTGTGTAAACCGATTTAACACTATCCTAATTAATAGCACAGTTAATTAATGAACATATTTTTCTATAAATATTGGAATTAATACAAAATATAATATGATTACATTTAATTATTATGGTAAACGAACTCACGCTCCTGTTTTATTTTGGAATTCTGCAATATCTGGGATGAAATATTATTTAATAAATTCGTCGTATTAGTGTGACAATATTAAAGTACATTGGGTGTAATTAATATTAAATGTAAATTGTATACCTAATTAATGATTAAAAAATATGCTGTCTAGATATTAGGTAATCGAAGTTTATAAAATTGTTATCAATATGTTTTTATTCTTTACCCGAATTTTATTTTTGATGCGCTTTAAATTATCGCTTCTGAATCCATATTTTATCGCATGCATTGATACCACACGGAGTTAATATATAACAAAGAACTTAGTTCTAAATGCAAAAAAAAAATGCAATTTATAAATAGGTGCCTACAAACAACGATAACTGCATAAAATTTGCTATTAGTTTAATAACCTTTTTTTATATTTACATCTGGGTTATACTAATTAACCGGTAAGTATATGCAGATACGTTTTGTTTAAAATTCTATATTTCTATCTCAGATATTAAATAAGAATGTGTTTCATTACATAAAAGTCGTATAAAACGACACGAACGCTTCGCGGCTGTGCCACAGCGTCTATGAGCTTCGTTGTAGAAAGGTAAGAGTAAAGAGTAAAAAGTTAGATAACTAAATATCTAAAACGATACTAAAAGTATTGGAAGTGTTACAAATTTGTATTTTCAATTATTTTTATGTATGGTTATCGTGATGATACCAGGTACATGTCGCTACCATATTGGCCACAATAGTTAGCTCCTTAATGGGTATGTACCGCTGTTGTGACATAATTATTACGTTATTTAAAACAAACAAACGTGTGTATTCAACGTAAACAAACGCGTGTTATTTTAAGTATCGCTCTAACTCAGTCGCTTTTCTTTAATTTTATCGCGCATTAGCTGCTATACCTCTTTATATAAATAAAATCGAATTAAGTATGTGTTAATTGTGAATTATATAAAACTAAATGTGATTAGATTCTATAAAACTGTTTGTTAATTTTATAATTCTTATAAATGCTAATTTATATTAGTAGATTTTCAGAGTGTGATTATATTCTACTATCAAGATCACAGTTCTTAATTTACTGTAAAAGAATCATTTAATTGTTATCAGGTGGTTAAATTTTACATCTGGCTATTATTTCTGTATATGTTTCAAGTGCCTTATGAATAAATTGATGCATTCCTACTTATTAATCACTGATTTTTTTACAATATTTTTTTTGTATTTTTATTTGATTGAAGTAAGTAAGTATTACGTGATCTGAATGTCTATTAAAATTACAAATGCGGCATTTAAAAATATTGTGACATATTATATCTAAGTATTATATTATATATAATTGAATTTCCAGTACTTATTAGTCTGTGATAAGTTTTACAGTTATAATCTGTTGTAATTATAAGTACCTACTAAGTTTTTTCTTTTAAGTTTTTTTTTAATACCTACCTACTATTTATCAATTTAGTATCCAAGGCGAATACAAATTTGTAATAAATTCATTTTCTAACATTTACTATTTTTTCTGTATTTTTTAAAGAATTAAACAATCCAATAAATTAAATTTTGACTGTTTTATTGTGTAAAATACCATTCCTAAGCCTACTCGTTTTTTCATTACAAAATAAAAAATTAAAAAATATAAACGTCATCCATTTTGATTTCGCTCGTCATTGCTCGTCTTTTTGTTTTATTTCGTAATATGTATTAATAATTATTGACTCATTTTTATTAAATTGATGTTCAATAATAGTAATGTTTACGATATTATGTGTATGTATTTATTTTTGCCGCCTAAATTAATAAATAAAATTTTGTAACACTGGTTTAACAAGAGCGAATTCCATTAGCTATGTTAAAAAAACATTTTGATTTTTCGCTTTTCTTTTGTTAAATCTATCAAATTCTGATACGTCAAGTGGAAATAGTTTTTACTTAAAATCAACCGCATGCATGTTATATAATTGATTTTCGCTTGGAATGGCACCAATACGGTATAGTTTACATTATGAAGATTATTCAGAACACTTAATGTCTAGATTTGGTAAACTATTGCAAATGCAGTCTTTAGTGGATATGACACTTATGTGTAGTTCTCACACTTTGCGAGTCCACAAAGCAGTTCTTGCAGCAAGTAGCGCTTATTTCCAGGTAATATTTCAAAATCAAGTCATTTTTATGTTTGTGTAATTCATGATATGATGACATTAACTACAAACTTTAATCATAAAATTTTGAAACTTTTATCAGGAAGTATTACAAAAACAGACCGGAGAACCGCTGATTATCCTAAAAATGCGCTTCAGTGTTCTTAAGTCTCTGGTAGAATTCATGTATTGCGGAAAAACGCAATGCTTAGAGGAAAATTTAGATGAACTAGTTTCGGCTGCGCAATTTTTAAAGATCAAAGGTCTTTCTAAGGTGACAAAGGAAGGTCTAGGAATCACTAAACACAGTAAGTTAGCGTACATCTTATTTATATCAACCATATTTAAATAAAAACCATATTTGTTATTAACTAATAAACTTTTTATCACTTCCAATCAGAAAGTTTAATTATAACTACGTGAAAAGTACACCTAGTTAGTAAAACATATTTATAGAAAAACCTCCAACTGCGCTGAAAGGTCTGTATAACAGAACAAAAAGTCTGTTCAGCAAATCGTCAATTTTGCCTAATTGACCTTAATCATCAAGGTTATTTTAAAGTAATTAGTGCTTAATTTACATAATTCAGTAAGAGTAATTTGCAAATATCGTTTTTTTTTTAATAGTAAAGGAGCAACGTAAGGAACTTTATGTTAATAGTTAAATAAATATCTACGATAAAATAATTTCTATAAACGAAGTTGTGGGATAAAAAAAATAGTATTTTTGAAAATTGAGCCGTGTAGCCGCTGGATTTAACTACCAGTGGGTTTAGGGGATTTCTATTCACCCGTGCACACACTGTATTACACTTTGTGCCTTAATTTATATATTATGTAAATGTCCGCGGCTTTCGTCCGCATCTTGTATCTTTGACTCAATGGGTGGTGTAAACAGGAAAGTGTTCTTGTATATACATCTTACATATACAAATACATCTTAAACATATACAGAAAAAAGCCCAATGGTTACAGGAATTAAAAAAAAAACTGTCAGTCGTTATATATGATATGTCGAAGCCGAGGATTCCGATGCTAGCTGAGGCAGCAAGGGGAGTGCCTTGAAACTGAGGAGATACGACAAAGGGGTTCTTTTTAGCGGTAAACGCGCAAACTTGTGTCTTCTGTGGATTGAACTGGACTAGATTCAGTCGGCCCCAATCCGAGACTTTGTTCAGCAAAAACTCGACTTCAGACACAAGTTTGTCCCGGTATTCGGCGACGTTTTCCCGAGAAATATTGGCAGGGCCGGTATATAAGGCATCACCAGTGCTGTCGTCTGCATAGCAATTAATGTTACTGGTTTGCAACATATCATTGATATGCAGGAGAAACAGCGTTGATGATAGCACGCAGCCTCGTTGAACACCAGCGTTAGCAGGATTCTAATCAGAGCATGCACCGTCTACTACGACCTTGATGCTCCGATCAGTCAGAAAACTGGTGATCCAATTGGACAATTTTTCGGGAAGCCCATAGGAAGGAAGCTTTGAAAGAAGCGCTTTGTGCCAGACCCGATCGAAGGCCTTCGCTATGTCCAAACTAACAAGGCCAATGCCTCCCCCTTGGACTCTACTGCCTCCGCCCATCTATGAGTCAGGTAGACCAGAAGATCACAAGCTGATCGACCCAGACGAAAACAGCTGGTGATCCTCAAGGTACCTCATGAGCTGGCAGTTTATAATGGATTACATTATTTTGGAGAACAAGGAGGTGATGGCGATAGGCCTGTAGTTAGACGGGTCTGAGCGGTCAATTTTTTTTTAATTTAAATTTAATTCATCAATTTTATGTATCTGAGTTCTGAGCGTGACGGTCACGTGAGTTCAGTGATTTTTTCCCATTCCAAAAGTTCCCAACGTGATTAAAGAAGTTTTCACTTTAAAAACCGACTGCGTGAGTTTAATGAAAATAGAAAAAACGTTTACCCTATGTCACTTCCACAACTAAGATGAATCTAATAATCTAACAGAGCGTGCCAAAGAATTAGGCATATATTACTCGAATAGTATTAAACTCTTGGAGAGTTGGTTAAAAAATGAGCCATGCTTATCAAACAACATGCACGACAATGTCACTTTAAAAAAAAATTTGGTATGCTACGAGTAGATAGACCAAAGAGACTATCACAGAATAAATAATAGTACTACGTAACTGTATGTATTTAGGTATACGGTAGGGTTGCCAACCGTCCTGTTTCCCCAGGACATGTCCGAGTTTTTGAAGTGTCTAGGGATGTCCTTAATAGTTTTTAAGTAGCGTCCTGGGTTTTAAAAGCGCCCTAACAAGATCGTGTATTTTTAAGATCACGGCATAGAAATTAACGACGAAACATTTTGTTTTAATTATTAAAAATACTAGTAATGTTATTAAACATTACTAATATTCCCTTTAACCACTTCTGGTAAGCTTAAAATGCTTGTGTTAGAAGTGGGTCACGGAATGGCGGATTCGAACCCACGACCTTTCGAGTTCGCGGTCTGCGTCCTGCCATTAGGCTACTGACGCTTCAATTTGACATTATTTGTCGACATAGACAGCGAAACGGATAGCGTGGCGAAGCGAAAACGAAAACGAACCGATACTTACATACATATATTCGCCACCGCCACGTTTTCGGTTCGGTTCGCAGTTATGTTTGACAAGGATTTTACTGCGTCCTATTTTTAAACTGAATTGTCGTGGTTTTTCCAAGTTCAAATTCTAGTTTTTTAAGATTGGGACTGGCAATGTCCGTGTGTGTAGTGTGCCTGAGTATTGTCCCCATATTTAATTTTCTTTTGTTTAATCGTCTAGACATTTTGAGAATCTGACGATTTGTTCATTAGGGTTTTGCTATAAAGACTTGAAAGACGGTTTTCCTATATCAACGTAATTAATGTGTTTATTGAGAAATATATCTAATTATTTTCTACATCAAATAATTAGATATATTTCTAATTAAACGTTTCGCGCCGTTGGACCATTTCCTACTTACCTTCCCTTAACCTTTTTAATTTTTTTTATCACTGTTGGATGGCCTTTCCCAAAATGTAACAAATGAGGCATGTTCTCGTTAGACACGCGGGTAGGCCACACGACAACTTCCCACTACTAATGCTATTCCTACGGTTCATGACTATTTTCCATCATCAATTATGTCTCATTATATGATAAAATGATTGCAATTCGTGATCCAAGTTTTAGATACGATACTGGATTAAATATTAATTTTGAATAGTACCTGGTTCTTGTTTTTTCAATTCTAAAATCTGTTTCCCAATATCGATAAATTAACCTAACTAGCCGAAGCCAAACATTGTGCAAACACTTTGCACTATATCAACATACGCCGCACGCCTAGCACTGAGCTTTACTCATAAGTTACATGAATCCTTTTATAATTACTGAGTTTTAAGGCATCAATTACCTATTACTCTCATGGAAAGCACCCGAGCATCAAATTCGACACGGAATTACGGAACTACTGGGCTGGAATAGAAACAATATAGATAATAGATACCTATTTATTTATGTAAACTAATTTCTCATGGTGTCCATGAATGTCACAGAATACCCACTATTGCCAAAATCCGCATAAATCTGAATAACTAGTAATAGCATTAGCTTAATGCTGCTGTGTATCGCTAGGTGTAGAGAACTGGAGACACAGAATACTTTACTCCTAGCGGAGACTGGAGACCATTTTTAATGGTAACGAGGCATTCTATCTTAATCCTCAGGGGTGACGACTAGGCTTGCCAACCGTCCCGGATTTTTTTTCCGGGACGTCCCGCTTCTGGGTTATTTTGGACCGTCCCGCCGTAACCCCTTGCGGGACGCCTTTTGTCCCGGAAATGAGTGATTCTTTTTTTTTTAAATTACCTCTACACTAGGATTTTCTCCTGTATCGTGGAGGCAGTTTACAAACACAAATTTCACAAGGACAAACATCCAGACCCGGAACAATCATTTGTAGGCCATACAAATAGTGATAAGTGATTATATGATATTAGTATCTATCTCGTACCAACTACACCTTAGCCGTAGCTTCGATACCACTTTTAAAAGCATCAGCAGAGAGAGTGTTTTCTCTCTTTGGAAATGCATGGACAGACAACAGAAATAAGCTGTTTGTTGACCACGTCAAGGCTGAACTACGAATTAACATTAATTTTGATCAAAAATGCAGTGAATTTTATAACCAATGTGATTTTTTCTAATCAATTTGTGTGTGGTGTGTTGTGTCCCGCGTGATATACCCAAGTACCGGATGTCGAGCTGGGTAATTCTGGAAATGCCTTTTTTGGAGTTGGCAAGCCTAGTGACGACGCATCTATATTTGAATTCTTAATCGAGGATGTAGGTGCTCGTTTGTCACCCGTATTCTATACTATAAATAATAAAAGTCTGAACAGCCTGAAAGAAATAACTTTGCCATCACTCGTATTTTAAAGGTGATCTACCAATTTTTACGCCGCCTGTGGTAATTAATCGGCCGCCGCAATCTCTTATTGACTTGCATACACAGGTAAGCTTTTTATATTATTATAATAGATACATTAAAATATTGCACATAATGTTGACAAATTATATAAGCCAATATTTAAAAGTAATATGTGTTAATATTGCTTCGTGTGTTTCATTCGTCCTATCAAAATCTTGCTGGACATAGGCTTCCCCATAGATTGATAGAAAATATCCTCATATTTGCCTGATTTGCCACGCTTAGCAAGCGAATTGGAAACCGCCGTTTTCTTTATTTTCTCGTTGTTATTAAGAAGACACTGCTGCCTACCTTCTGCTTGTTTCCCTCTGTCCCCTCTTATGACACACCTACGTGACGACATGGGGTAGTGGAAATTCTTACACTGCAACTAAGCTGTTGGCTTCTTGCCGTTAATTTATTCATATAATAAAATAAAAATTCAGTCTAGACAGGCAAGAGCAAACCATCATCATCTAAAGTCTCGCTGGTTTTTTGGCTGGTTCTTGCCAGGGCTGGTTTTTCCGAACCAGGGATAAGAGCATAAATAAATTTCAATACGTAACAATTGCTTGTAATATAAATTAAATTTAAAAAATCTATTTCCTTTTATTCTGTCATCATTTACACTCTAACTTTTGATTTCAAACCCAAGGATACATTCGAGCCAAAGCCGGCACCACCAGTATCCTCCAGTTCCTGCCAGCCAGTGGACGGTTTCAGTCGGACGAACAAGGTGCATCATCGTTTTATTTTATTTTTTTCAGTGTAGTACCTGATCAAGATAGGTTTTGGTAGCTCATATAATGACGACCTACGCGCGGCTCCTATAATTTTCATAATTCAGTTTTCCTTCGATTCCTAATCAATATCTCTCTCTCTCTCTTTATACTTCTATTAAAAAAACGTTACTACACACTTGTATTTTCTCCTGTATCATGAGTGCAGCTTACATACATAAATTACAGAAGGACCAATCTAATCCAGACCCGACACAATTATTAGTTGGTTATACAAATAATTGCTACGTGCAGGATCAAACTAGCGGCCCTCAGCGCCGCAACTTCACTGCGCCACGGTCGAATTGTCTAAACCGCAAAATTATCCATTTCCATGAATCATAATAATCATATAAACATTTCGATTGCTTAATGTCTATAACGCGGACAGGGAAACTGTTAAAACGCAAAATTTAGCAAATTGCCTTTTGTTTTTGTTTAATCTGTAGTAGGGTGGGGTTAGGTTAGGTTTATACGTTATCAAATACGCAACCAAAAAAAAACTTCCTTATTTAACACTTACCCTGTATACGTTATTTTGTAAAAAGGAGTAATTGTAGTAAACTAGGCCCTTTTCACCAATGTGCCAAAGAATTGGAAGTCCATTCTTCAATCGCATGACTTTTTATATAATATTAATTTAAAATACTAGTTCCTCTTAATAAAGCTTCCATTGCAGCCTATAGAAGTCTACTGCTAGACATAGTTCTCCCCCATATATTTGCCATAGTTGCCAGTTAATAATAATAAACGCAGTTTTTTTTATTATTTGAGTTATCAGGGAGATGGTGCTACCCATCTCCTGTTTCAGTTTCCCTCTGTCTCCTCTTACGACACACATGGGTCGATTTGGGGTAATGGATATTCTTACACTACTCGGTAACTACATTGTTAAGTTTGGGTTTGAGTTCGAAGATCGATCTACCTCATTAAATAAGCAGCATTTCGTAATAAACGTGTATCTTGGAACTGTACAATTTGTTGATTCGCTTCTAACTTGGTACATATCCAGCTCTATTTTCGGAACTACTAAAATCGCTTAATGTAATTTCATACCTTGACTTTCCCAAGTCTACAAAATCACACTGTAATTTATTTAGAAGCAAATTGAAACTAAAAACTCAAATGTTTCCTTCTAAAATACCCAGGACATGGTGGTTCGGATACCGTTCGACATTGAGAACGGCAGCGGTACAACGTCAAGCGGCGATTATACAGACACACCGCGCGTTATCAGGCCGCGGCGAGGTCGACCAAGCATTAGGGTAAGTTCTCTGTTTCATAATTTTCATTAATTCATTCATTACAGTCTATCAAAAGTTGCTGCCATGGGATATTACCATAGTTGCCACGATGGGCAGACGGGTTGGCAACCACAGTGTTTTCATTGCTGATATGAAGATGCTGCTGTCCATCTCCTATTTGTTAACCTGGGTCGTGGCTTACGACACCCGCGCGATAATATGGGGTAGTGAATTTTCTTGCTCCGCCACTGATTAAATGAAACTAAAATCATATCAATATTTCCTTTTTATTGTACGTTTTATTCTACTAATTATATTATTCGTTACCTGTACTTGACTGGTAAGCTAAGTAGCTGAAGATGGCCGTACGAACCTGAATTCGGACCTGACAAAATTGGCTCTAACCAAATTAAAACCACTAAGAAGTTGAGTCCGATGAATTTGTAAAAGCCAAAAGCACTAACGTCGCAAACTAGATGATATTTGGCCATTAGATTCTGAGTTTAAAACTAGGTGACATTTTACGAAGTGAGATTCCCGCAAATCTTTGTCAGAACTCGTGACTTCCTTGCGGCTGCTTTGGGCTTGGACTGGAACAAAAACTTTTTGATTCAATATAGATTTTAAATAATACTTATTGAGTCACTCTTTTGTTTAATTTACTACCACGGGTTCGGAAAAAAACCTTAATAATAAATAAAATATTTTGTTACACGCATATTTTAGACCAAGTGATAGCTTCTACATCTATGTCATCGCGTTATAAAATTCAACCACTGGGCATGGTCCTATCCCGCTGTACGGCTGATTGATGATCGCAGTACTAGGCGTCTCGTATATTGGACGTTGCTTTCCGTATTGCAGGTCTGGATATTTTACGTCGCGTAAAACAAGACTGTGTTATACCATCACCTATTGGAAACCAAAGTTTTTTTCTGGCATTTCATTAAGTCTCCTCTTACGGTACCCCAGGGATGGAAAATCCAGCGGTGGAACTGAAAAATAACAATGAGTATACTTCATGAAGTATATCAGTAAGTAGGGATAGTCACATTTTTGTGGAAGCTTGAAAGCGAATAACGCTTGTTAGTTTTTAATCGAATCAGACCTTTTAGTAATATTAAGTGCCTTTCATACGTCCCAAATGCTCATAACTGAGTAGGTGCCTCACACCTTTAACATTTTTGTCTGTCGCCGCTCTGGATATTTTGTCCAGCATGATTGAGATTGGGTAATCCATTTATTTGGCAGTCGTCGGCAGTCAATTAATTATGAAGACGTAAATAATTCTCTATCGAAATAAGTACATTGGTTTAACGCCAACAATATGCTCTTAAATGGCAATAAGACAAAGTGTATTAAATTTACAATACCCAATGTAAAACATTCGAATACCAATGTGCTGTTAAATGGGGAGGAGTTGAGTCTTGCGGATACCACTGTTTTTCTCGGTAGTATCGCGTCAATTGATTACTATTGACGGGATACTTTAATGGGGCCCCCATATATCTAAATTAGCAAGCAGACTTAGTTCTGCAGCATATGCAGTAAGTAAGATTAGAAGTCTCACAGATGTTGAGACAGCTAGATTAGTGTATTTTAGTTACTTTCATAGCGTAATGTTTTATGGAATTTTGCTATGGGATAATGCGACTGATATTGAAGCTATATTTGTTTTGCAAGAGAGCCGTACGGGCAATTTATAACCTAAATTGTAGAGTCCCTCAGACAAAAATTTAAAGAAATAAACATATTAACTTTGTCATCGCAATATATTTATGAAAATGTAATGTATGTACATAAAAACATAAATAGCTTTAATAAGAATAAGGATGTGCATACTTTAAAGACTAGGAACAAACATAAGCTTGTAATGCCAGTTACTAGACTCCACAGAATCAGTAATTCATTTATGGGGCAATGTATACGCTTTTACAACAAAATCCCAGAACATATATCAAAGTTTGTCAATAAACAAGATTAAAAGTTTTATTAAAGAAAAACTGTACAAAAAGGGTTATTATAAATTATAATATCAAGGAATACATGAATGAAAATAACCCCTGGGAATAAGGTGATCGCCACCATGCTGGTTCTATGAAAATCATTTGAAAATTGTATAAACGATATTATTGTTAACTGAAATATGTTTGAAAAAAAAGTCCTGCTGGGTTTCTTGCTGGTTCTTCCCAGGACAGAAGTATTTTCCGAACCAGTGGTAAATAAAAAATGACTTTCAATAAGTATTATATAATAATCAATATTGAATAAAAAAATATTCTATACTATTGGAATACAGTAAGAGTTTTCTGGCATTTCTCATAGTATAGACTCTTACTTTATGTCACCCACCGAACTTCTTCAAAACTGAATATTTAAACTTGTATTTCTTTAATACTGATTCCCGTCCCTGGTCTAGATATATACGCTATCCAAAAAAAAAAAAATTGTTATGATTTTTCGTGCTCATTTAACCGTAGTCGTTTTGCACTTATAGCGATCCATGGGTTGGGACGGGCCCAGTGCGTTAGGAAGGGCGGCTGAACGCGCGTTGCTTCGTCGTGAGCAAGACTCGCGAAAGGCCATACACCAACTTAAACATCTGCAGACGAGACACATGCAGGTAACAGCTGTCTTGTTCTCAAAATGAAATAGTTTTATATCTTCCTTTTAACCAGCCTATAAAAGTACATGGGCCTCTCCCGTTAAAGGGAGGCCAGTATCGCTGGGCAGCAAATCTCGCACGTCTTTTGATACTGCTTCCCGTCGCTGATCTAGATATTTTACATCTGGAGTAAACGAGATTTCAATTTTAATGAGGTAGATCCATTCTGCACCTATATTATTGTTCCAGCACGAATGAGTCGGCACGACCGGAAAAGGACCACACTCTCACAGAACAAAATACCAGCTTAATGCTGCTGTGTCTTTTATGATAAGTGTAGAGAACTGGTAACAAATAAAAAAAAACAATTACACTTAATACAGAATAGTTTGCGTGGATTACAATGACAATTAAATCTAGTTTCTTTTTTACTTTATTTTTCGCAACTTGCTCGTTCGCTAATAGTATGAACCCACCCTAATTAATTATAGGATTACGTTAGTGACTATAGACTTAGCAATTGTGATTGGATAAATGGGATCACATGTATCCATTAGTTTACGTAACATGAGATGGTTAAACAAGGGCAAAACGGAGAAAAATTCCGTTGGGCCGATTAGTCTATATCGATCATATGAGTGGGAAAACACTCTGTCACGTCTATTAACTGGTTTGTCTACCTGTTTTATTGCTTTTTTCACATAATGATCACAAAAAAATTAATCCCATTTTTGTTCGTAGGACTACATGGATCGGGTGACACTATCACAAGCGGTTAATAGCATTTGCGATCCGGAGTCTGCCGCGAATACTTATTTGAACATGGATAACGATCTAATGTACATGGATCAATCAGTCTCATCCAACGCCCTCGATCAGACGATGCCTTTCTCCAAGGACTCACTAATGAATGAAACTATTACATCAAGTTTCGCTAGCACAAACACAACAAATTCGACCAACGAAACTGTTACAAGTGGTATCAGTACCGCCATGTCGCAGTACGTAAATGCTTTAAAAAATGCCGGCTTACCTACCGATTTACCAATTCTTTTTGAATCGGGCGACGGCTCGTACATCAATGTAAACGAGCAAGTACTTTTAGATATGGTACAGAGTAGCGAGATACAATATGAAGTCATTGAACAACCCAACATAATAGAAAAAGTTTCCGATCCTAGCGAAATAAAAAGCATAGATGACCTGTCTAAATCAATAGAGAGGGGGGAGATGCTTATGGCCTCAAAGAATTTTAACAGTAGTAATTATGACAAAGACTCGCAATATAATCGTCACGAAGATGCAATTAACAGCCTGAGTTCAATTCTACCTGATAACCTAGAATCATTTGCTGAACAACAAAATTACGTTGTTCTCGGGCATGATCTTCAAGAAAATCAACCGAACATGGATTCTGTAACCTCACACGATTTCTCGTGTATCGACAGTGACATGCAGTTTTTCACTAAATCAATGAGTGATGATGTGAAGAAATTTTACGAGGATCAACAGTTAAACGATGCAAGGGTCATGGAGCAGCTCTGTCCGAGCACATCTCTCGATACAAATTTCAATATGTCCTTGTTAGATTCCAAAATCTCACATCTCGGTGAGAATATGTCACAAACATATAACACGTTAAACAATGAGGATATGCAAAGAAACGAAGATTGCTACGACTTCAGTCTACAACTGCCGCAAGGCTCTGACTTTAAAGATCCCCTCGATTGTTTAATTTCCAATTCTAAACAAAGTGATGACGAAAAAAATGATTTTGATGTTCACGACCACTTAGATAAGAGAGCGCAAGAAAGAGAAGACTTAATCAAAGATTTAATGAACATAGAAGATAAGATTAACTTGGAAAATAGCAGTACCGTTATTGAAAACGAAAAAGTGGTATCAGAATCTAATGGAGATTTTAACGTAGAGGAAGTTTTTCAAAAGGAAGTAAGTGAAACAAATGAAACAGATCGTGATAAAACAGATAATTTAGGAAGTGAATTACAATGGGACCATATTAAGGTAAGCAATAACATAAGCGACAAAATGTGCAAAACTGAAAACATTGTAAATGATTCAGATGTAACAAAAAATCAAGATGCAATAGTTGATTCAACAGAACAAATCAAACAAAAATCAAATGAATGGGATGATGTGTTAAATGAAAATAATGATGAGGCAAATAAAGAAAATTCAGAACATGTAAATCACGACATTGATTCAAAATTACAAAGTGATATTCCTTTTGCTGTTGGGCTACTCCCTTTAAAACAAATTCAAACCGCAGACGAAGAAGGTTTATTAAAAAGGAGAAAATCTAACGACTCTGACATGTTAGACATTGTAGATGCAAAATGTCTTAAACGAAAAGTAAAATACAAAAAACTGTGATGGTCTTTAATATTTATGTTATATACGTAATAAATTGCATTTATTTCAAAGTATGGCTTATTTCTAAGGTTTTGCACACATTTAAACAAATTCACATGCCCTTATGTCTATTTAGAACTAGCTGGCTGGTTGTTGTATGCTTTACAATATGTGACTCGATGAGATTCACTCCGATACAGCGCCACCTGCAGGGCCCAGGTTTCGTGATTTTCTTTATAGTCACTAAACCTCCGTGAATACAAAGTCATTTTGATCGCATCCTTGCTTAGCTATGAACCAATCGTCGTCTCAATAAATCAAATATATTGTACAATTATAATCTGAATCAGTCAAGTTGTTCGGAAGTTACATGATCGCTAACAGTACCCCAACAAATATAAGCACCGCTATGACGAAACCAAAACGAATTATAACGCATTGAATATAAAAATGTTATTGTTATTTAAATTATCCTTTTTTACTACAATTTGCTTAAAGTTAGGCTTTTAAATGAGGATATTTGCAGTAAAACCAGAGTAACTGACATACAGACACACCGACATAACCAAAGGATCAGTAAGCTGAAGTGGGCCGGCCTTGTAGCTCGAAGAAACCTGAAGCAGCCTCATACCGGCAGGCGAAGTGTAGGGCATGCCCCCAATAGATAGAGTAACGACCTGGTTAGACATGTAGGAAGTTGATGGATGCACGTGGCCCAGGACCGTGCTCTGTGATGTTCCTTGGGGGAGACCTATGTTCAGCAGTGGACTTGTGATGGGCTGTAATGATGGTGATGATGATAGCAATATTGAAATGTGTTTTACAACGGTATCCGAAATGACTATCACAGAACTATCATAGAAGAACACGGGCCATCGGCACGGCATCCGGCGGACTGAAGTAGCCATATTTTCCCGTTACAGAACTGTCATTTTGCATGGGGAAATCTGCGCACACAAAAAAATAGTCTGTCACTACGAAACACACAACTTAATTAGTAGTAGTCTGGTACGTGACATGACAGACTATTCTTTAACATATATAGAAGACCAACTAATAATTTCACACACATAGATATAACAGTATCGCTCGGTGACAACAACTTGGATACAGACTCGGATTTGTAGCTCGACTACTCTGCATATTGTACGAGGGCGAGCGGCCTGTGTTGGTAAACAAATCCGATATAACATGACCGTTATTATTCTAATTTTGAAGTTTATCTACCGTGCTGCCACTCTCACACGCCACTGTAGAACATAGGCCTCCCCCTCAGGTTGCCTCATAGGGGTGATATTTGCCTTTTTTTGCTTTGAAAGCGGGTTAGCAACCACAGAGTATTTTTATTTTTAGTTGTTATTAGGAAGATGCTGCTGTCCATCTCCTGATTTGTTTCCCTCTGCCGCCTCTTACAGTACCACTGGATGATATGGCGTAGTGGATATTCTTACACCACCAACATTTTAAGTTTAAAATGAAACGATAATGTATTTAAAAATTACTTATATTATGACAGGTAACCAATGACGTATTATCAGGTAACGCCCTTGTTTTGTAAATTTGACGTGGCAGATCTCTTTTATATAAAAAAAAAACTGAACAATGCTACATCTTTGTAGGATGTCGATCATCCAGCCGCGCAACTTGATTTAGTCTAGTGAGTAGTGCTGCAACTAGTTTTATTTTACTCATAGGACCGCGTGGATTTATACTTTTCAACCCCTGCGTATGGCTACTCCTCACCGGTCCGCAGGTGGCCCGTGTTGCTCTATGATTAACAATTAAAACAATGAACTAACAATTTCACACACACATAGATACATTATAACAGTATCGCTAGTCGCTGGGTTATTTTCTGACGAACGAAATGTGTAACATTGAGTAGTGTTAGTAGAGGCAGTAGAGTCCAAGGGGGAGGCGTTGGCCGTTAGTCTGGACATTGCGAAGGCCTTTGATCGGGTTTGGCACAAAGCGCTTCTTTCGAAGCTGCCTTCCTATGGGCTTCCCGAGAAATTGTGCAATTGGATCACCAGCTTTCTTGCAGATCGGAGCATCAAGGTCGTTGTAGACGGTGCATGTTCTGACTACAAGCCTATTAACGCTGGTGTTCCACAAGGCTGTGTGCTATCACCAACGCTGTTTCTTCTGCATATCAATGATATGTTGCTAACTGGTAACATTCATTGCTATGCGGATGACAGCACTGGTGATGCTCTATACACCGGCCGGGCCAATATTTCTCGGGAAAACGTCGCCGAGTACCGGAACAAACTTGTGTCTGAAGTCGAGTCTTTGCTGGACAAAGTCTCGGATTGGGGGCGACTAAATCTAGTCCAGTTTAATCCTCAGAAGACACAAGTTTGCGCGTTTACCGCTAAAAAGAACCTCTTTGTCGTATCTCCTCAGTTTCAAGGCACTCCCCTTCTTGCCTCAGCCAGTATCGGTATCCTCGGAGTCGACATATCGAGTGACGTGCAGTTTCGTGGTCACTTGGAAGAGAACGCCAAATTGGCCTCTAAAAAGCTTGGCGTGCTCAGCAGAGCGGGACAGTATTTCATGCCGGCACACCGCCTGCAACTTTACAAGGCGCAGGTTCGGCCTCACATGGAATACTGTTCCCATCTCTGGGCAGGGGCTCCCCAGTGCCAGCTCCTTCCACTTGACCGCATCCAGTGCAGAGCGGCTCGAATCGTCGACGACCGAGCCCTTTCCGATCGGCTAGATTCATTGGCACTGCGAAGAGATGTTGCATCTCTTTGCATTTTCTTTCGCATCTACCATGGGGAGTGCTCTGAGGAATTGTTCGGATTAATCCCAGCCGCCAAATTTCACGAACGCACATCGCGGCAGAACTCCCGATACCATCCACACCATCTGGATGATTGGCGGTCCACCACTGTGCGATTTAGAAGATGTTTTCTTCCTCGCACAACTTCCTTGTGCAATAGTTTACCACCAGGGATTTTTCCGGACCGATACGACTTAGGGACCTTCAAGAAAAGAGCCTACTCCTTTTCAAAAGGCCGGCAACGCATCTGCAATTCCCCTGGTGTTGCGGTTGTTCATGGGCGGCGGTAGTCACTTACCATCAGGTGAGCCGCATGCTCGTTTGCCCCCTCTCCTATAAAAAAAAAATGTACAATGATCGCATGGCTACCTGCTAGCTTGGCCAGACGGCCATTTTACATGTATCGGGTAATCAAGGTAAAACTTACTCAAATCACATTAATTCTCCCAGCTGATTATTACGTATATGTTAGATAATATCGTTAAAAATCAGTCATGAATAAAAACTCCCTGACTCTTTCCGTCAGCAGTATCGCTTTGCAGACGCTTTAAGAGGATTGTGAAGTGCCGATACGCGGCGCGAGTAGGTATTTTCATAAATGCTATCTGTTTCATAACGCACGCTATGCCTCCCTCCGGGCTCCGGGCGTGAACAAAACAAATACAACATATTACAGTAATTCTCACGCATACTACAATAGCAGCAGGAGCGTTCATTCATTCATAGCCTATATTTGCGTACGTTTACAATTTACATAATGAATTTGTTCTTTGCAATTTTATTATATTGCATAGTCTATGTAGACATTAAGTGGGGACTTACTACATATACTTTATAGAAGTGAGCTGTTATTTTTTCAGTATATTCAGTAAGTATCTACCTATCTACTATGTGAGTGATGATGAGATGAGTATTACATTAATTCAACTAAAATAATTTTATACATTTTAGAATAGAAGAGAAAGATTATAGACAAAACTAAAAAAAATGCAATTTGCTTCGTAAATCGAAAGTACGGGCAACTTCTAAAATCAACAGCTCTGTGCTCAACAGGTAAGTACGTACCTTACCACCTTACATACTATTGTATGTACATAGGTTGACTGGTAGAAGATAGACCGCAATTTATTCCACAAAATATAAAAGTATGGAATAGCTGATGTTGATTTGACTTCAAAAACGGAGGGGGTTCTATGTTCGGCTGTATGTATATTTGTTTTTTTTTTTTTAATGTATGTTCTCCGATTTCTCCGGACCGATTTTGAATACCTATTCTTGTTTTGTTCACAGTTGGTATCAAACAAATTTTATGGAAATCATTTCAGCCATTACATAATATATTATGTTGTAATTGAGTTTTATTGAAATTTTACCACTTGTCAAGTAATAACATTAGTCCGTTAGAAGAAGGTGTTCGTACCACTGTTACTGTGGAATTGCGATGATTCCAAGGAAAATACTAAAATTTTCGAGATACTAAGATTTGATTAGTAAAATTTCTATACGTAGTATAGCCATGCTGCAGCTATAATATTAGTAGTACAGTTCTAGCACGAGTGGGTCGGCTCGACCGGGGAAGGACTACGTTCTCACAGAAATTTAAACGATGAACCGAATTATATAGGTAAACTAGCTTTTCACCCACGACTTCTCCCGCGTTAGTTAGCCGTAAAATATAATTTAAACTATTATCATTCTATTTATGTTTCAGGGACTCCGAGATAGACAAATAAAAGGAATCGAATCTGACAAAGAGAATAAAAAATAATACCATAATAATGTCATGTAATATATATATATATATATATATATATATATATATATATATATATATATATTTATTTATTTATTTACAATACATCGCCGTCTTCGACTGTCGAGCTGGTTATTGAACCAGAGTTAGTCAAGATTGAGGCAGATAAGTTGTACGGGCGAAGAATTATAGAAATAAATAATTTATTTGAATGTATCGCAAATTAAAAAAAATTATTTCGATTGCTATCATTTTACAAAGAATCAAATCAAATCAAAATTCTTCCCAGGACAGAGGGTTTTTTCGAACCAGTGGTAAAGTAAAAATGACTTTCAATAAGAATTTCACGTGTAATGTATAATGAATAAAAAATTATTCTATTCTAAGATTAGGAAACATATTATGTAATCTGAAAGCTTGGGAGTGTGGACTGTTCATTGATTTCTATGATTATTATTTAGGGACAACTCCAGATGGGCT